GCTTATGTACATTTTCAAAACTTACGCAATAAAAAAGAAAAGAAAGTCTCCAACCGATTTTAACGGAAATCCGCCCCTTCCCCTCGCGAATCTGTCACATATTCGCAACAACCCCTAACTGCACGCGTAATTATAATCCCCCTTAAAAAACCCCCCGTACAGATCGGTTAAAAAAGCATATCGTATATATATATATATATATTTACATGTAGCGTTCGGGGATGGGTGGGAAAAACACGTCTAGAGAGAGGAGAGCCGAGCCGCCGCCGCCGTCGTTATATAGCGCGATGTGTATCACACGGGCTTTTCTGAGCCCGCGCAACTCTGGCTCTCGGGCGTTGAGTAACACTTGGCTCGCCGGAGCCGCGCGTACGTTACCAGAATAGCCGCTCCGCTCTTTTAAATAAGAAAAGATACTTTTCACCCACTCGTCGTGAATACAAAAGTCGCGGTATTTCCCATACGTATAGAGCAATTGTCGGGTGTGAGGAATAAAAAAAAAAAAAAAACAAAAAAAAACAAAACAATGATAAAACACTTGGCACTGGCATTGGCGCTGTGGGCGAGCCTGGGATCGGCCCACGAGCCCTTCATCGTCCAGTTCCAGTGGAACTACGTCAACTACACTTGGCCGACGGAGGAGTTGTACCTGCGCGCGGCCAAGGACGAGTCGTACCTGGAAAAGAGCAACGTCATCTCCGGTATAAAGCTGTGGAAGGGCAAGATGTACCTGACGATACCGCGTTGGCGCAACGGGGTCCCGGTGACCCTGGCTGTGACCCCGGCAGTGCCTGTCAACGGGACAACGGCGCCCCAACTCGAGCCCTATCCCGACTGGGACGCTCAAAAAATCGGGGGCGACTGCTCGGGCCTGCAATCCGTCCAGAACGTCGAGATCGACCCCATGGGCAGGATGTGGGTCCTCGACACGGGCAGGGTTGCCACGATGACCACCGAAGCCGCGGCAGCCGCCAAAGAGCCCAAGTGCCCGCCACGACTGGTCATTTTGGACCTCGAGGATGGAGGCAAGGTGCTAAGGAGCTACGGCTTCCCGGCCAACGTGGCCAGGCCCGAGGGCGCCCTGCTCAACGACATAGTCCTCGACCACGAGGACGGCGGCCTGGCCTACATAAGCGACTCGGACCAAGAGTACCCGGGCATCATCGTGTTCTCCCTGCAAAACCTAACCTCTTGGAAGCTCAGCCACGACTCGATGCGGGTCAAGGAGGACGAGGTGGGCTTCATCGTCGAGCAGACCCGGGTCAAGCAGAGGTTCAACATAGGTGGCTTGGCCCTGTCACCGGCTTACACCGAGGGTGGCAACAGGGTGCTCTACTACACGCCACTGTCGTCGCTGTACGTGTTCGCCCTGCCGACCCACGTGCTCAAGTACGTTGAGAGCGGCAATTTGAGCCAAGAGGTCAAGGTGTTGGGGCGAAAGCCGTCGCAAACTGCGGGCATGGCCATGTCGAGCAGTGGGATCTTGTACTTTGGCTTGTTGGCCGACGACGCGGTGTCCATGTGGGACTCGAAGAACCCGTCCTTCATGACGGGCCAGAGGATCATATCACGGGACCACCACCTCATGCAGTGGCCGAATTCCCTGGCCTTCGACGACAGGGGCAGGCTGTGGTGCATCACCAATAGGCTGCACAAGTTCCTCGACAACAGTCTCAGTATCGACGAGCCGAACTTCCGGGCCATCATGTCCAAGACTAGGATGCAGAATTACCAGTACTACGACAACGGGACGGCACCGGAGTTGCCGTTCATCGCGGCTGGCGCCGGCCGGGCCCTGGGAGGAACTGCCCTCGCTGCGCTACTCGTGCTCCTGATGCTCGTGCAGTAGAGGCTTGTTTTTTGTTTTTTTTTTTGTTTTTTTCTCCTTCTTTTTAGGGTGTTGTTCGTGGCAGCAGCCAGGAGTCTCGGTAACCATATTTTCGCCAAAGGACTGTGGGACGATTTTACGAGAGCCAAGAGTCATCGTGTGGTTTTACTCCGCTAGTGGCTGCTGTTTTTTTTTTTTTTTTTTTTTTTTTTTTTTTTTTTTTTTTTTTTTTTTTTTTTTTTT